TTACTTATATGCATACCAACACATTATGATTTAATAATTATAGAGTGAAATATTGATTCATTGTTCATTGATTGATTCTCACAATGAATCAGTTATATGGAACCCCAAACATGAGCAACATAAAAATAAAACCAGAGTAAATAACTTGCCTAACTGCATTAAATAATACATGTTTAGTTGCGATATCAGAGTACCTACCTAATGATAAATATTATTATAAATTATCTCTGCGTTTATGTTGCTCAGGGATAATGTAGCTTAGGGGCTTCTTTTGGGCTATCATTTATTTTGAAAAAACCCCCAGCGAAGCGGGCACGGGTCAGCTAGTAGATCCTATAAAGGTTTCTTTTTTCCTTTTGAGGTCGGAACCCTAAAAAGGACAAACTGGGATTATTGTTGTATGTGTAGGTTTTTTTTCGTTCACTCTGAGAAGAGTGAAGCGAGTGTATAAGTATATGACAGCGGCCGCGATTGCCCTAACGTCCATCATCATCTAGCTACCAACGCAGAATGAAACACGCCAACGTGTGAACGGTACCACGAAAATCTGCCGAGTGCGCTCGCCAAGCGCGCTCGGCCAACGTGTACTGGAGCCATTAGATTCGCCAACACCTATGGCTCCAGTACACGTTGGCCGAGCGCGCTCGCCGAGTGCACTCGGCCAACGTGTACTGGGCCGTTTTGTATATATTTGGCGTTTGCGGCCAACGCTCGCCGACGAGCCGTATAGTGTCGGTTTTCCGTGCACAAATCAAAGGAATTTGGCGCAAGCCGCAAACAGTGTTCACACGTTGGCCGAGTGTTCAGTTCATAGTTACGCGTCGAAGTAGACTGTAGTGTCGGCTTAATAAAATTGTTTCAACATGGCGACATGGACTAATGAGGAAATATTTATTTATTTATTTAACAGTTTATATACACACATAATTCGATAGGAAAATGGTAAAAACATAATTATGTACAAAGGCACTGCCTATTCTATGATGAAATTTCTTCCAGCAGGCCTGTTGAAGGATAGTTGAAGGAAATAGAGGTATTCAAAGTGTGCACTTACATAAATATACATATACAATACAAATATATACATATACATACACACACACACATATATACGCATGTATATATATAAATAAATATCATATATTATGAAAAAATATATAATTCAATATAATATATTTTTAATGTTACTTATATGCATACCAACACATTACGATTTAATAATTATGGAGTGAAATATTGATTCATTGTTCATTGATTGATCCTCACAATGAATCAGTTATATGGAACCCCAAACATGAGCAACATAAAAATAAAACCAGAGTAACTTGCCTAACTGCATTAAATAATACATATTTAGTTGCGATTTCAGAGTACCTACCTAATGATAAATATTATTATAAATTATCTCTGCGTTTATGTAGCTTAGGGGCTTCTTTTGGGCTATCTTTTATTTTGAAAAAACCCCCAGCGAAGCGGGCACGGGTCAGCTAGTAGATCCTATAAAGGTTTTTTTTCCTTTTGAGGTCGGAACCCTAAAAAGGACAAACTGGGATTATTGTTGTATGTGTAGTTTTTTTTCGTTCACTCTGAGAAGAGTGAAGCGCTGTATAAGTATATGACAGCGGCCGCGATTGCCCTAACGTCCATCATCATCTAGCTACCAACGCAGAATGAAACACGCCAACGTGTGAACGGCACCACGAAAATCTGCCGAGCGCCCTCGCCAAGTGCGCTCGGCCAACGTGTACTGGAGCCATACGGCGAATCGTCTTATGGCTCCAGTACACGTTGGCCGAGCGCGCTCGCCGAGTGCACTCGGCCAACGTGTACTGGGCCGTTTTGTATATATTTGGCGTTTGCGGCCAACGCTCGCCGACGAGCCGTATAGTGTCGGTTTTCCGTGCACAAATCAAAGGAATTTGGCGCAAGCCGCAAGCAGTGTTCACACGTTGGCCGAGTGTTCAGTTCATAGTTACGCGTCGGAGTAAACTGTAGTGTCGGCTTGATAAAATTGTTTCAACATGACGACATGGACTAATGAGGAAATATTTATTTGTTTATTTAACAGTTTATGTACACACATAATTCGATAGGAAAATGGTAAAAACATAATTATGTACAAAGGCACTGCCTATTCCATGATGGAATTTCTTCCAGCAGGCATATTGAAGGATAGTTGAAGGAAATAGAGGTAGTCAAATTGTGCACTTACATAAATATACATATACAATACAAATATATACATATACATACACACACACACATATATATACGCATGTATATATATAAATAAATATCATATATTATGAAAAAATATATAATTCAATATAATATATTTTTAATGTTACTTATATGCATACCAACACATTACGATTTAATAATTATGGAGTAAATATTGATTCATTGTTCATTGATTGATCCTCACAATGAATCAGTTATATGGAACCCCGAACATGAGCAACATAAAAATAAAACCAGAGGAACTTGCCTAACTGCATTAAATAATACATGTTTAGTTGCGATTTCAGACTACCTACCTAATGATAAATATTATTATAAATAATTATCTCTGCGTTTATGTTGTTCAGGGATAATGTAGCTTAGGGGCTTCTTTTGGGCTATCTTTTATTTTGAAAAAACACCCAGCGAAGCGGGCACGAGTAGCTAGTAAATCCTATAAAGGTTTCTTTTTCCTTTTGAGGTCGGAACCCAAAAAGGACACACTGGGATTATTGTTGTATGTGTAGTTTTTTTTCTTGTTCACTCTGAGAAGAGTGAAGCGCTGTATAAGTATATGACAGCGGCCGCGATTGCCCTAACGTCCATCATCATCTAGCTACCAACGCAGAATGAAACACGCCAACGTGTGAACGGCACCACGAAAATCTGCCGAGCGCGCTCGCCAAGCGCACTCGGCCAACGTGTACTGGAGCCATTAGATTAACAAGTCAAATACCTCTGACAAATGAAAGGAGACCTGTGAGAACGTATGTACTTAGTCAGGTCATAAGTTCTGTCAAAAACGTTTTATAAAATTAATGATACACTTTTTGATAATTGGTTAAGTGGGACCTGGATAAGTGAGAAACCTCCATAGTTGGAACTCATGCTTAGGTCCCGACACTTTAGCACTGAATTACCTCTATTAGTGGGACAAAACAAACCTCTATATGTGGGATTAGTTCTTTCGATTTTATCGTCATAATTACCTGTATAATTGAGACAGCGAGTGTGTTTTACCTCTTTTACTGAGACTATATTTTAGGGATTAGTTCTTTCGATTTTATTCGTCATAATTACCACTATAATTGATACAACGAGTGTGTCTTACTTCTTTTACTGAGACTATATTTTAGGGATTAGTTCTTTCGATTTTATTCGTCATAATTACCTCTATAATTGAGACAGCGAGTATATTTTACCTCTTTTACTTACACTATATTTTGTGTACCGTTTAGTTTACTAATTCTTATTCTACCCGCAAATTCCGCACATGGTTAATTGTGTAAAAGTGCCTCCAGTTTTAGTTTGGTTTTGCTATCGTCCGGATGTTTATGTATTATGTTTACAAAATACGTTAATTTATTTAATAATCGCACGTCTATAACTGAAATAACCTTTATTCTGACCTCCAATAATGGAACCCTCTGTAAATGAGACAGATATTTATTTATACCTGGATATCTGAGACACTGGGCAAGTGGAATACCTCTTGCCTCTCAAATTTGCAGGTCCCTTAAGGTCCCAGTTATCCAGGTTTCACTGTATAATCAGCAGTCATCAGTTTAGTGAATCTGAAAGCTCTTCGTTATTTTGTTAAACACACTTAACACATTTTGTTCATTAAGCGTAAATATACAAGAATCTTCCATCCATCTATGTAAATGAGTTAGTAATCGACGCAATTTCCAGGCTGTCGTGACAGACTGTGATGCGCAGTTTATAAGCGATACGCCTTGCGTGATCGGAAACGTATTTTCCCTCCGAAATGTAATGGCCGTTGAGCTTAGGCAGCACGCTAGACACTGCCTGTCTCGTAGTCAAAGAGCTACATTGGAAACTTAAGTAAAAGTAATTATTGGAGCTTATTGGAGTTTACTCCTTAAGAATCGGTTCATATATGTAGCGCATGGTATGAAAAACTGTTGGGTAGTTAAATTAAGCCTTAAAAAAAGTGAAGCCGTTATGGTTTTCCTCTGTACAACCTACTCGCGCATCTCCGTAGCGCAAAATGAATAATGTAATAAAGTCGTATATTTTTATGTAATATAATTTGTTTAATATATTTTATCAAATCAATATAACTAAATATAGGGTTCATTTACTTACTTTGCCTGTCGCGTATATTTTAAGAAAATAGTTTTTCAGGAGTAAATTTCAGTCATGCTTAGTAGCTGACACGCACAATTTTTTTAACTAAACCGTTCACTTTAATGCAAATTTTAGTACCTTTGAAATGGTTCCAAATTATACAATATTTTAAGTTTATCTCAGTCTTGATCACTTGCGTTTTATCTTTGAAATATTTTGTAATTTTTTTAACTTTATTTTTGCAATGTCTTCAGTCATTGCAACTGTAAATTATTAAAATGGGTTATTGGTCTATGTCTGTTTTATCAAATCAGAAATTTCTTTTAACATGAACTTTTAACCGAATGGATAAAAATCATCGAAGATTATTTTCTTTTGATTAACATTTTTCTGTCATTTTGTTTTGATTTTGATGTTTTTTTTTTACTTATGGCTCTTGGATTATATCATCCTGATGAAGTTTTTCCTAGACTGAAACTGATGCATCAAACCCCCCTTTACATGAAAGAGACAAAAACCAGGAAACGCCCAAAGTTACAACCGAAAAGTTATTCCTTTTTAGACATTGCCTGTCTTTTGTCGTGCCCGTCATGGGCGTGGATTAAATAAGGTTTAAATATAAATTTCGTTAAACCAAAAAATCTATAGTTTAAAGTAGAAAAGTTGTACCTCGTGTTGTATAGATAGGTATGGGTTCAACAAGTTATTTATCGAAGCCTAAGTCTACCGGGTACAGAGTAAAAAGCGGCTCTAGTGTTGGCTCTGACAAGGAGATGAATGGCAAGCTAAAGCGCTCCAAGATAAGGTTAGTACAGATAATTAATAGTGTTTAAATAGATCCTTTACAATTTTCGTTATAAATTTTCGGTAATTGAAAATCTATGCATTTGGAATAATATTAAAAGTAATTTGTTCCGACAGCGGCATTATGAGTGATTTTTACCGATTTCAAAAAAGGAGGAGGTCCTCAATTAGATTGTGTGTGATATTTTTTTTATATTATTCTTTTATTATATATATTTTATGTTGCGCGATATCTTTGTCAAGTGTAAACTGAATTTAATTATTCTTTTTTTTAATAAATACGTTATAATTTTGAGGTGGTTATATTTAAATGTAGATATGAAAAGCTTCCATAAGGGTGGATAATAGGGGATATCATTTTTAATGTAACAATTTTTTTAAAACTAAATTACTCTCATTCTTTTTAGAATAAAAGTGATTTAGTTTTAAAATTCTACCTGATAATTGCTAAAATATTTTATTTATAGGAAGGTCCTAGATTTTTTTACTGGATTAGGTTAGGAAAACCCAACATTATATAACGGATATTGGGACGTATTACTTTATGTCACTTTATTTTATTTTTTATATTATGGAAAACCTACAGCTTACAAATCATAAGTAAATAACATGTTTAATTATTTCACTCCGCATATTACTAGGATTTAACTGGTTGATAGATTGACTTATATACTTAAGTATTACTGCAGGTGGATAGAATATTGTTATAATTCATAGAGAAATTTAAAATAACTGACTGATGGAAGAATTTAAAATGATTATTTCTTTTAAAAACTATCAAAACTATATCCCATACACTTAGTTCAACCTAACCACGTTTTACTCGTATATATATTTTAATATAGATAGATAGAAATCAAATTCAAAAACAAAAAAATAATTTGGTACAAAGGCGAACTTAATGCCGAAAGAAGCATTCTCTGTCAGCTTTGATTATATAGCTTATATTTTAATATTTAACATACCAATATTTTATTATTATTGATGACATTTTATTATTTAATTTTATAATGTATGGTTAATTTATTTTCTTTCTAATAAAACGTGAACTTGTGTAAAACTTGTGAAAGGATGTAATGATGATGATGATGATTTAGTGGTAACTCACGGACCAAATACACTAAATGTTTAGTGGTGTTAGTCGTAGATCGATTTAAACTTGAGGGCTCCGTGGCGCAGTGGCTTAGCAATGAGTTGCTGCGCTGGGAGCCGCGGGTTCGATTCCCGCACGGAACAAGTATTTGTATACAAGTAATTGTTCCGTGTCTGAATGTTTATCCTTGTGAAATTTATGTATGTAAACTGCCCCCACGATACAGGAGAAAATCCTCGTGTGGAGTACCCTCCACCCTCCTACTTGTTCCGTGCGGGAATCGAACCCGCGGCTTCCAGCGCAGCAACTTATTGCTAAGCCACTGCGCCACGGAGCCCTAAAGTTTAAATCGATCTACGACTAACACCACTAAACATTTAGTGTATTTGGTCCGTGAGTTACCACTAAATCATCATCATCATCATTACATCCTTTCACAAGTCCACTGCTGAACATAGGCCTCCTCCAAGGAATGCCACAAAGCACGGTCTTTAGCCATCTGCATCCATCGACTTCCTGTATGTCTTACCAGTTCGCACTCCATTTAGCGGGGGTCGCCCTATACTGCAACTAAATACACAAGTATAATTAAACATTAAAAAAATACAAAATACTTCTATGGTTTTTGTAGCTTAGACCGAGGACTATTCCACCTGCTTGGTATCAGTTGTGCAGTTTACAACTGTCAACGTTATTTTGCGCATTGTTGCGCTGCAATTGAACCCTATTTAATTTTAGTTTAAAAAAAAAATAACAGTGCACTTCCGGTAACTTAACTGAGCCCATAGACACCTGAGGCCAAATAAATTAAAGAAGGGCTGAAGGTTACCATCCCTGAGTTCTTACATGTTTAATAGCTTACAGCTTGTTACTATACTGGCTCTCATACTCTTTAAATCGGCACATCGGCACATAGCAGTGGGTACACCTGTACTGGTTCCGCGGCAGAAAAAGGGAAGATATCGTGGCCAAACAAATGAACTTCTTGTAAATAATATTTTACTTCAACAGCCGTTTATAGTCCATCGCTGAACATAGGTCACATCCGATGTATGAATGATTCGCCATAATCGCCATGCTTGCTATGTGGTGATCGCAGCACCAGACGTATCCCTTTTTACTGGATACAATACATTCCGTTACTCCCCTAGGGTGACATGCGTCTGCTTTTTTTTAATTTAAAAATATAGATGTCTATGGGCCACAGTATCCACTTACTATCAGGTGGACTGTGTGCACGTTGGTCACTGTTATTCTATATAAAAAAAGTTGTACCGTCAGCTATCGGAAACCAGGATATCTTTCTGAAATTTTCCAAAACTGCCTTTGACTATCATGAAACGAAATTGGGTGATAGATTCTGTTCACTCCGCCACAAGACGGCGAAATATATCAGAGGTATTTTATAGTCCGTACCTTAGTTACAATAAATTTTAGGAAACTTTCCGACAGTTAACCTTTAACTAGGTGGTTTACCCTAGAACTCTTACTGTCTATCAGTCCGTTTGGGTAGGCACCTCCATTGTTCAGTGTAAAGGGTGTAGAGAGACAGTTTAATTACTGATTATGAGGCATTCTAACAAAAAATGGTGGCAACGCATCTGTAGGCTTCTTTGTTTGAAGTTGCAAGTGTCCATGGACCGCAGCAGCCGCTCATCATCGAGTGAACTGAGTTCGTTTGTCACTTCAGTTTTATAAATATCTTTAAACAGCCTTCAGAAGAATTACCAATTATTCATACATTATTATATAAATATTAGAATTAGATGCAATTATTGTTCTGAGAACATCGATCACTAATAAAAAAACTAGATACACAGTCAGTGACAAAAATGTCCTTACCGAATGAGCGCCCACTCGAACATTTGGGTGCGCTTATAATTTGTACGTAGCTTTGTGAATACAACCTTAGGAAATGCATTTAAAGTTGAATTTACATTAATTTATTTTTATTTCAACCACAGAATAAATTGTTTCAACTAGAATTACGTCAAAACAATTGGAGACAGTTTTTTAGACAACTTTTGCATGGGATTGTGTATCTAGTTTTTTATTAGTGATCAATGTCTAAGAATCAGTTTAATCACGTGTTTATTTACCATAGCAACGATCACCATGGTGATTGTGTGATCAATACGCTGCATTTTAAAACAAAATCAACCCCACTTCACGCAAAACATCGCAATGCGTCACTTCGACTCTTTGTTTTGAATTTTGTTTTTGTGTTTTTAAGTTTAATTAATTTTTAATTTTCTCATTAATCATGTGACTTAAGGTGATAAGGTAACAATAGTGTAATGATAATGAATTATCCGCATTTTTCATCTAGAAGGCCAAGCAAAATGAATGAATATGGCGCCAAGAGAATACCGGATTACACCGAGCTGGCATACAAAGAAGCTGTATCAAAACTGAGATATTTTTTATCTGGAAATAGCGCGCCAAGTGTAAGTTCATTTTTTAATTTTCGATCACATTAGCGCGTTAATTACGTCACATTTTTCAAAAATCGTCATTAAGAATTCAAAATAATTTAAAGACGAACTTTGAGTCTATGGCCAGTGAGTCCGAACTTTATTAAAACTTGTTCTATTAAACTTTTCAAAGGATAATGCTAAAATTGAATGCACAATTACAGAGTTTAATAATTAATTGATACAATAGTTTAATTAAAACATTAAACAATCGATATGGTTCAGTAACCATCAATTTAAAAAAAAACTTTTTGAAATAATATATTTTTGTTATAAGCAAAATGTTGCCATGTCAGACCAACAAAGATAGACGAAGCGCGACATTAATTTCAAGCCATCGATATATATATGTATATATCGATGTAGTATATCTATATACATATATAATTATTATTATCACCTGTCCGTAACTTACAGAATACCAGCGTAAAATAGCAGTTTAATGTTTGTGTTATGGTGAGTGTAGAGAACCGGAGACCCCTTTTACTAGAAATGAGGTATTCCATCTTAGTCTGCAAGGATGACAACACATCTGCATTTTGATTTTTTAACCAAAGGTTTGTCACCCTTATTCTATAGAAAAAAAAACTTAACCCTACTGGACATGCAAATCTCCTATTTCAACTGTATTTGCCCTGCTCGGTAGGCTTTAGCATTCTAGGTTTGCAAAAAAGTTACAGGCTATAATATGTCCCACTCCTGGGGAAAGGCCTCCTCTCATTTTTGAAAGGGTTGTAGAGCAAGAAAATGTCCGGCACGCTGCCGCAATGCGTGTTGGGGAACTTCACATGACTCTGTATTTTTTTTTATTTCTCAGACATGCAGATATTCTCATGATGTTTTTCTTCACCGCCGAACACGTTGCAAATGAGCGCTTAAAATTCTAATGAACAATTTCATTGGTGCCGTCGCGTACCGAACCCGACTTGATTGCGTACTGTCATATGTTATATGTACAGCGAGCTCTTAGCTCCTGAGCTACCTTTCATATATTTAGGTATAGATATAAAAATCTGACAATATATATAAAAATGTGTCTGGTAATTATTATTAACTAGCGATCGGCCCCAGTACCGCACGGGTGATTTCTGGATCTCGGCAGCAGCGCCACCTACCGGGTCCAATCGTAAATCTAAACCATCCAGGGACCTACTCAAACGTACACAAAAAAAATCATTTCATTCAATCAGTTTTCGAGTTTTAGCAAGACTAACGGACAGCAATTGATTTTTATACCTGCATACCTATGTATGTATTGATTTATATGTATTGATTTCTTAAAACTAGCTTTACGGCTCTGGGTTCTAGCCCTTCTGAGCCTACCCTCATGTATTGAAATCAATTCATTACATAGAGCATGTAATGGATTGATACCTCCCTGACGATGTTTTCCTTTACTGCGGGCATGCGGTAAATGCACATAAAGCACTTAAAATGCAATTCAATATTTCATTAATTAAGGCAGGAATTGTAATTTTAAGGCGACTACTTAGTCTCTGAGCTAGCACATTGAGCTGCTATTTCATGCTGGTATTCTGCGAGAGTGTGATCCTACCCCGGTCGAGGAGACCCATTCGTGCTGCAACCATTATATAGCTGCAGCATGACTCTACAACGTTACGAAACGTCTCCTTTATATATACTTGTATTTCCATTCTTCACTTATGCTCTAACTAGCTGTTCCCCGCGACTTCGCCCGCTTTATATTTGGGGTTTTAACTGTTTTGCGCAGAACATTAATTCTTTTTTTTAAAATAAAAGTAGCCTAAGTTACTCCTTATGACATCAGCTATCTGCCAGTGAGAATCCCGTCAAAATCGGTCCAGCCGTTTCGGAGATTAGCCGGAACAAACAGACAGACGGACAGACAGACAGACAGACAGACAAAAACTTTAAAAATTGTATTTTTGTTATTAGTACCGTATGTACTTTCATATGCATTTAGTAAAAAGCTGTAATTTTGACATTACAAACAAACACTTCAATTTTACGAGTATTTATTTGTATAGAGTATAGATATAGATAAAACTAGCACTAACACGACGTCTGTCTGAACTCGTATCACGCAAAAAGCTATGAACTGATTTGGATGAGACTTTCACTAACAGAAAGCTGATATTTTAAGGAGTAACTTAGGCTACTCTTATTTTAGGAAAAGAATTAGGGTTCCGCGCAAAACAGTTAAAACCCATGATATTCAATCGCAATAAATTTGTCGTGAAGCGACAATTAAAAACAAAAAAACCTAACCTAGCAACAACAAAACAAAAATAGGGCAAAACAAATAATCTATTTAAAATATAAAAAAGATGTTTACAGATTTATATAAAAAAATGATGGGTGACGTGATTTACAATTATTTCTAAAAGAAAGATAATAAAAATGATGAGTATTGAAGCTGAGGCCGAAGATCCAAGTGGTACACCGCTTTTGGTGGTGGTATTCGCTGCCCACAGATTATACACAGGCTGTGCTGGTGGTAGGCCCACAGCGCCTGGAATAAGCGCTCGCAGCGCCTGGAGCGAGCACGCACAGCGTAGGTGAAGGCGTGGGCGTGTCTAGGCGACGACTTCAGGTGAATGCAGAGGTTTGCAAGATCCGGCGACTTCAGGCAAGACAGAGGGTTGCAGGATCCCAGCGACTTCAGGCAGGACAGAGACCTGCAGGATCCGGCGACTTCAGGCAGGACAGAGGCTTGTAGGATCCGGCGACTTCAGGTAGGACAGATGCTTGCAGGATCCGGAGATTTCAGGCAGGACAGTGGCTTGCAGGATCCGGCGACTTCAGGCAGGGCAGAGGCTTGCAGGGTCCCGGCGACTTCAGGCAGGACAGAGGCTTGCAGGATCCCGGGGCAGTGCGGCCCCGGGATAAGGCCTTTAGGAGATGCTTCGAGTTTGAGAACCGAAGCGAGACTGAGTTTCTTGACCGATTGTTCGGCTTTTATACCTTTTTAGAGAGAACGGAAAATTATTTAAATTAAAAGCAAATTTTTTGTAAATGGCTAAGAGGAAAGAGTATTTATGTGGAATTATCGAAGTAGAAACAACAGACCGGTAGCGAATTTGAATAAAAATTGCCATGACAACCAGATAAACAACGATGTCAAAACATGTCAAATTTTGGTTTTAGGCTCGTAATAGAGAAACGGCAAGATTTAAGTGAAAAATGAGATATTATTGCTATAGGAAAAAAGGTAGCGCACCAGCGCGCACAAAGCCCGAAATTGCAGAGTTACGGAGAACTAAATAAAAGATCGAAAAAGGTAGACTCCATCGACACCAAATTAAATGCTGATAGCGTGAAAATACGAAGTGAAAATGATTTGTTATTGTGTTCTTATGGTTTAAAAACGTTACAGGATCCTATGGAAATAAAGGTGATACAAAATATCCAGTTTTGAGGTGAATGCAGAAAATCAAAACAGAATGGAAAAATGAATTTAAAATAGCATAACACTACAAATTATATGCGGGCTAAGTCGCGGGGAACAGCTAGTCTATATATAATCTAGTTGTATAATTAATTAATACATTAATTAAATAATACTGGATGCTAAATATGCACTAAAACTGCAATAAACTGGTGTAGGCGGCAAATTTACTCTGAGCGCTTAGTTTGGGCATTTCTAATTAAGATTTTTATAACGAGATTTGTGATGTGATATACTAGGTACGCAGTTATGGAGGATCAATATCCATGAAGAATCTAGAAGAGTCGGATGGAGATCTGGACAAGAAGTACACGAGTACGTACAGCACTTTCGGCGAATACAAAACCCGGCCGCGCCTTACCGCAAAGTATACAACTTTATACGCGGACAGCTTAAGCAATTATACGCCTCCTAAAGTCAGTAGTGGTGAGTACCTTTTACTTTTTAGATAAAAGTTAATTAGGTAGCAAGGCTTCTTTCTTACCACGGTATTAGTGGTGGGGACTTCTTTTGTGCCTACGGGTACGTGTGACTAGGACCCCTGTTACCTGTTTATACAACCTAATAGCAGTGCGTACATTGCTGTATTTCGCTCCAAAGGGTATAGTTACAAGCAGTGACGCAGTTCGTTTTGGTCCTCAGAGGTGTAAATGCATCTGCTAAAAAAAAGTCGCGGCAACAACTAGTCATTCCATATAGGATTGACACAAGTATTAGGATCACCGTAATTTTTAAATAATAGGTCGTGGAAAAATTTCTTCGTATTTTATGTACAAATTCAAGACATTCTTTTTCAAAGTTTAATTTTTTTTTTATAGGAGAGGGGGCAAACGAGCATGCGGCTCACCTGATGGTAAGTGACTACCGCCGCCCATGAACAACTGCAACACCAGGGGAATCGCAGATGCGTTGCCGGCCTTTTAAAAAGGAGTACGCTCTTTTCTTGAAGGTCCCTAAGTCGTATCGGTCCGGAAAAATCGCTGATGGTAATCGATTCCACAAGCAGGTCGTGCGAGGAAGAAAACATCTTCTAAATCGCACAGTGGTGGACCGCCAATCATCCAGATGGTGTGGATGGTATCGGGAGTTCTGCCGCGATGTGCGTTCGTGAAATTTGGCAGCTGGGATTAATCCGAACAATTCCTCAGAGCACTCCCCATGGTAGATGCGAAAGAAAATGCAAAGGGATGCAACATCTCTTCGCAGTGCCAATGAATCGAGCCGATCGGAAAGGGCTCGGTCGTCGACAATTCGAGCCGCTCTGCGTTGGATGCGGTCAAGTGGAAGGAGCTGGCACTGGGGAGCCCCTGCCCAGAGATGGGAACAGTATTCCATGTGAGGCCGAACTTGCGCCTTGTAAAGTAGCAGGCGGTGTGCCGGCATGAAATACTGTCCCGCTCTCCTGAGCACGCCAAGCTTTTTAGAGGCCAATTTGGCCTTCCCTTCCAAGTGACCACGAAACTGTACGTCACTCGATATGTCGACTCCGAGGATACCGATACTGGCTGAGGCAAGAAGGGGAGTGCCTTGAAACTGAGGAGATACGACAAAGGGGTTCTTTTTAGCGGTAAACGCGCAAACTTGTGTCTTCTGAGGATTAAATTGGACTAGATTTAGTCGCCCCCAATCCGAGACTTTGTTCAGCAAAGACTCGACTTCAGACACAAGTTTGTTCCGGTACTCAGCGACGTTTTCCCGAGAAATATTGGCACGGCCGGTGTATAGAGCATCACCAGTGCTGTCATCCGCATAGCAATGAATGTTACCAGTTAGCAACATATCATTGATATGCAGAAGAAACAGCGTTGGTGATAGCACACAGCCTTGTGGAACACCAGCGTTAATAGGTTTGTAGTCAGAGCATGCACCGTCTACAACAACCTTGATGCTCCGATCTACAAGGAAGCTGGTGATCCAATTGCACAATTTCTCGGGAAGCCCATAGGAAGGGAGCTTCGAAAGAAGCGCTTTGTGCCAAACCCGATCGAAGGCCTTCGCAATGTCCAGACTAACGGCCAACGCCTCCCCCTTGGACTCTACTGCCTCCGCCCATCTATGGGTCAGGTAGACCAGAAGATCACCAGCTGATCGACCCCGACGAAAACCGTATTGGCGGTCACTAATCAGCTGGTGATCCTCAAGGTACCGGATGAGCTGGCAGTTAATAATGGATTCCATTATTTTGGAGAACAAGGAGGTGATCGCGATAGGCCTATAGTTGGATGGGTCTGAGCGGTCGCCTTTTTTACATTTAATCATAATATATATGCGCCATTTTGTTCGATAACTTGTTGCCATCTTGTAGGTAGTGACATAATTCCGTTGCTGTAGAAATCTTGGGACTTTTGGATTAAAAAATGAGACAAGTAGTTTTGACAATCCTCTCTTGATGTTAATCTAACACTACCCAAAGAATTCTGAAGAAACGGAAACAGGTGAAAATCTGAGGGTGCAACGTCAGGATGCCGAATGGCTCGGTTCACGTCTAACCGATCATGCGGGGAGATCTGTTTATGACTTTGCCTTGGCATATGGTCTGACACAACTGGTTACTTCGCCTACGCGGATTCCAGATGTGGAGGATCATACACCTTCCCTGTTGGACCTTCTGCTGACCTCTCATCCGGACGGATATCTGGTTTCCGTCGATGTCGATTCCCCTCTCGGCTCTTCGGACCATTGTCTGATCCGGAGTGTGGTGCCACTCACGCTCCCTTCGCGGTTGCGTTCTGCAGGTTGCCGCCGTGTTTGGCATTACAGGTCGGCGGATTGGGACGGAATGCGGTCCTTCTTTGCATCCTACCCATGGGGGCGGGTTTGCTTCTCGCCGGATGATCCCAGCGCTGTTGCTGACTCTGTCACTGATGTGGTGCTACAGGGAATGGAACTATTTATTCCATCATCTGTGGTACCCATCGGAGGCAGATCTCAGCCTTGGTTTGGTCGCTCCTGTAAGACTGCATTACGCAGTAAGCAGGAGTGTTATCAAGCCTGGGCTGCGGCTTCGGCGACTCGGGATGTAAATACCAGCACACTTAAAAAGAAGTATAACTTCGCCTCCAGGTCCTTCAAAAGAGTTATTGCCACGGCAAAGTCAGAGCACATAGGCAGAATTGGCGAGAAACTAGTTCGCCTTCCTTCGGGAACCCGTGCATTCTGGTCTCTCGCCAAGGCTGTCCAAGGGAATTTCTGTAAGCCATCACTACCATCTCTGCACAGGGAGGATGACTCACTGGCCCATGACGCAAAAGACAAAGCCGACCTTTTAGGCTCCCTTTTTGCGTCCAACTCGACTCTTGATGATGGGGGGAAAACACCGCCGACCATCCCGCGGTGTGAGTGCTCCATGCCGGATGTGCTGTTCTCACAGCGCTCGGTTCGCAAAGCACTGCTCTCCCTGGACATCCAGAAGTCGAGTGGGCCTGACGGAATCCCCCCAATTGTGCTGAGGACGTGTGCTCCGGAGTTGGCACCGGTCCTAACGCGTCTTTTCCGGTACTCCTACTCCCAAGGCGTAGTCCCGAATTCATGGAAGACAGCTTTTATCCACCCGATCCCTAAAAAAGGCGACCGCTCAGACCCATCCAACTATAGGCCTATCGCGATCACCTCCTTGTTCTCCAAAATAATGGAATCCATTATTAACTGCCAGCTCATCCGGTACCTTGAGGATCACCAGCTGATTAGTGACCGCCAATACGGTTTTCGTCGGGGTCGATCAGCTGGTGATCTTCTGGTCTATCTGACCCATAGATGGGCGGAGGCAGTAGAGTCCAAGGGGGAGGCGTTGGCCGTTAGTCTGGACATTGCGAAGGCCTTCGATCGGGTTTGGCACAAAGCGCTTCTTTCGAAGCTCCCTTCCTATGGGCTTCCCGAGAAATTGTGCAATTGGATCACCAGCTTCCTTGTAGATCGGAGCATCAAGGTTGTTGTAGACGGTGCATGCTCTGACTACAAGCCTATTAACGCTGGTGTTCCACAAGGCTGTGTGCTATCACCAACGCTGTTTCTTCTGCATATCAATGATATGTTGCTAACTGGTAACATTCATTGCTATGCGGATGACAGCACTGGTGATGCTCTATACACCGGCCGTGCCAATATTTCTCGGGAAAACGTCGCTGAGTACCGGAACAAACTTGTGTCTGAAGTCGAGTCTTTGCTGAACAAAGTCTCGGATTGGGGGCGACTAAATCTAGTCCAATTTAATCCTCAGAAGACACAAGTTTGCGCGTTTACCGCTAAAAAGAACCCCTTTGTCGTATCTCCTCAGTTTCAAGGCACTCCCCTTCTTGCCTCAGCCAGTATCGGTATCCTCGGAGTCGACATATCGAGTGACGTACAGTTTCGTGGTCACTTGGAAGGGAAGGCCAAATTGGCCTCTAAAAAGCTTGGCGTGCTCAGCAGAGCGGGACAGTATTTCATGCCGGCACACCGCCTGCTACTTTACAAGGCGCAAGTTCGGCCTCACATGGAATACTGTTCCCATCTCTGGGCAGGGGCTCCCCAGTGCCAGCTCCTTCCACTTGACCGCATCCAACGCAGAGCGGCTCGAATTGTCGACGACCGAGCCCTTTCCGATCGGCTCGATTCATTGGCACTGCGAAGAGATGTTGCATCCCTTTGCATTTTCTTTCGCATCTACCATGGGGAGTGCTCTGAGGAATTGTTCGGATTAATCCCAGCCGCCAAATTTCACGAACGCACATCGCGGCAGAACTCCCGATACCATCCACACCATCTGGATGATTGGCGGTCCACCACTGTGCGATTTAGAAGATGTTTTCTTCCTCGCACGACCTCCTTGTGGAATCGATTAACATCAGCGATTTTTCCGGACCGATACGACTTAGGGACCTTCAAGAAAAGAGCGTACTCCTTTTTAAAAGGCCGGCAACGCATCTGCGATTCCCCTGGTGTTGCAGTTGTTCATGGGCTGCGGTAGTCACTTACCATCAGGTGAGCCGCATGCTCGTTTGCCCCCTCTCCTATAAAAAAAAAGGACTATATGGTGAATGCATTAACACTTCCCAACCAAGCTCTCTTAATTTTTGCTGAGCTTTTCTGTTGATCAATTCCAGCTGTTTTCGTTGGTTTTGTCTGGCGGTAAAAGCTCATAATAAACGATGCCATTCCAACTATACACACAGCATCACCTTGTTGCGTGTTAATCCGGGCTTCGCTACAGTCTGTGGAGCTTGACTACTCTTTGACCATAATCTTTTTCGCACGTTCTTGTCGTAGGTGATCCACTTTTCATCACCAGTGATCAATATTTTCAAAAATAGTTGGGTTTCATTATGTTTCAATACAGAATGTCAAATGAGTACACGATTCATTAGGTTTCTTTCAGTGAGCTCGTGTGGTACCCAAATATCGAGCTTTTTTGTATAGCAAGACTTTTTCAAATTGGTCAAAACTGCTTTATGGTCAACCCTCGATTCCTCGGCTATGTCGTAACTCCTAATATGCCGATCTTGCTCAACTTTTTGAAGAATGGCTTCGACTTTATCCGTATGAGGGCGACCAGAGCGAGCTGCATCTTTGACATCAAAATTCCCGGACTGAAAACGCTTGAACTAACATTGTGCTACTCTTACTGACACTGCATTAGGTCTATAAACGTCACAAATTATTTTTGACGTGGCTTGACAAGTCAAGCTCAAGAGCTTGAGTCGAATTTTTCCCTTTTTTGTAATAATGCTTCAAAATTTATTGAATTTCTTCGTTAGATTCACTCATTTTGGCGGACAGAAAAACAAAATATGAAAAATGGCGGGAAAGTGTATTTTACTTTATATTTTTCTTTCTCTTAATGTCCTATACGTATTGATATTAAAACCAGCCAGATACAAACAGTACAACCAAAGAGGTTCTTCTTCAATTTTATACAAACAAAATACGAAGAATTTTTTTCCTCGACCTATTATTTTTTTTTTGTTAAAAAACTTTATACCCAAACTAGATTTCTCGCGTATCGTGGAGGCAGTTTACATACATATATAAATTGCACAAGGAAAAACACCGGAACAATAATTAATTGTTGGCCATACTACATCTCTGCCCACTCCACTTGTATGTATCTACAAATATTTCTTCGTTTCGGGATTTGAAAGCGCGGTCTTTAGCGCCTCAACTTAATGGTAAGCCACTGTGCTACTGAGACAAAATCATTTATTTTAAAAAAAAACGGATGACATAATGTTGACAGTGCCGTATTTTTTATTCATTTATTAGAGTCTTTTACAGTCCACTGCTAAACATAGGTATGCATCATAATTACTACGCTTAGTAGGCGGGTTAGCAACTGCGGTTTTTTATTATTTCAAACTGTTATCAGAAAAATGCTGCCGTCCATCTCCTGTTACATTTTCCTCTCTCGTCTCCTACGATACCCACGGGATGATACAGGATAGTGGCTTATCTTACACCGCAACCACACGAGAGACAAACGGACGAAGAATTCCTATATACAGAATAACATTTATCCCGTAGCTCCTCAACCGACTGCCGCGTCAACAGCGGCCGATCTGACCGGAGGTACCAACCCTGACGTCATCAACTTCATACAGAAGCAGGAAGAGTACATTGAACAATTGGAGCGCGAGAGTCAATATTGCAGAGTACGTATTTTTTCTTCAGTTTTATTTGATGTTTTCAACTAGCAATAATCGCAGCGGGTTAACTTAATTTATTGATTAGGCTTTTGTCTCTGATCAGAGCTTTCACTTCACAGGAAGAATTTGTGTAGCAATGTAATTTTACAAAAAAAAATCTATTTTTTTTTATAGAACAGGGGGCAAACGAGCATGCGGCTCACCTGATGGTAAGTGACTACGGCCGCCCATGAACAAGCGCAACACCAGGGGAATTGCAGATGCGTTGCCGTTCTATATAATTCTAATTTTAAACTATTTATTATTCTTATATAGTTCTAAATCTCATAAAAATAAGAGATCAAAAATAAGATTTCGTATAATGACTTCATACGTATAATATTTACGGATTTTATAGCGTTTAATTTAAACTTTTTTAATTCCCGCCGTTTGGGGCACTTTGCACCAACCAGACACAATGTTTCAGACAGCACATGGCATCTGTGTCTGTAAATACATGGCCACCGAGCTCCGGGCACGTTAGTTAGTTAGTTATTTATTTATTTACAACAACAAAAATACATATTATACACAGTTCATAAGTACAGTGCAACATAAACCTATATAAGATTTTTCTGCACACTGCAGTTCGCCGTCTTTTGAGCGTAAACGTCAAGCTTGTTTTGCAATAACCTCGCTAACATCCATGGTAGGAAATGGGTGTTCTTTTGCGAGGATTTATGGTCTATCAAATCTGATATAATGGCATACACACTGCAGACTTCCCGGAGCGTCTCTGCTTCACATCAACATATGATATGATATTTCACGCGGGTTTTATGAATCTTTTTGTTTGTCCTATGTAAGATCTAACGAGAATCTTGTAGAGTGATATGACACCTGACGGGTGGTAAGAACTGACTAATCTTCTTCGGCAGCTTCTAGTATGTTCTTATGGAAGCCTGCTTCAAGATGTAGAGAATCTTGTCTGTGACTCCTGTGACATATGGTAGTGCAGCAGGCACACGCTCGATTATGGCCGGTTTCACTCGGTCACTGTGACGGAGCCGCAGGACCCGAGGCTTGTTATCGTTCAAAACTAGTTTGACGTGCTGGAGCTCAGCGGCCAGGTGTTTACTGTCACAGGTGCATTCTGCTCTCTGAAACTTTGTTTCTGGGTGCTGTAAAGTGCCCGAAACGTCAGGTATTAAAAAGTTAAAATATAACATGATAAAATTTGTTTTATTCCAAGATTTCGTTGATTATAATATTTATAACATACTAAAAACCTTCGCGGGCGTACAAAACAACTCACTTAATTCGTGTTCGGCGGAGAAGGATCAGCTTAAATTTACAATTAATAATATTAGCGTTAAAATTACAATTAATAATATTTTTTGTCAGTGGGGAACGAACCCAGGTCACTCGTATTTAAAAATTTACGATCGACTTAATACTTGCTCAACGGTGAAAGAAAACAACGCGAGCAAACCTATATTTTAGAGCAGTAAAATAATTTCTTTTTATAGCAGTAAAATACAAATTTAGTTCATGTGTATCCTCCAGGAATACCACCAACCACGCACTTGAGCACCGCGGTAGAAAAATAGTTTCATATTCCTTTCAGAAATAAGATATGACATATGTCTTTAAATTTTTACATACACACGGACAAAGCAAAAAACGTACTAATCATCATTGTCATTATGAAGACAAAATAATGCAATCCATATTTCAGGACGAGCTCAACAACCTCCTAGGTAAGGTGAAAGAGGTTATATCTGAGAACGAGCATCTGCATGAGGCTCAAAAGAACAAGATCATCTCCCGCATGTTCCAGTACAACGCTGGCTCCGAGACCGACGAGTTGGACGATGTGGGCGACAGCACGGGCCTTGATAGTGATAATAAGGTGCAGTTTATCTGTCTCAAGAAGATAGTTAAAGCCATGAAATAGTTATATCTAATCTAATCTAGTGAAATAATTATAACTGTAAATTGAATGTACAGGGGGAACAAAATTGACGTTCCTGTTGTGTTGTTGTTCATGTTCCTTTTTTGACAGTAGATTAAGGTGCGGCAGGGGTGGTCCTTGGGCCACCCTAAAACCATGTAAATTATAACGATATAAAATGTAATATTGAAAGAATCGACCGGGGAAGGACCACGCTCTCACAGACAACCAGCGTAAAATAGCAGCTTAAGGCTGCTGTGTTTCGTATGGTGAGTGTAGAGAACGGGAGACTACTTTTACTATAAAAAACCTTTTTTTACTTTTTATATATTATAGAAACGAGGCATTCCATCTTAGTCCTCACGGGTGACAACGCATCTGCATTTTGATTCGTAATCGAAGATAGATGTAGATGTCTATGAGCCACAGCAACCACTTACCATCAAGTGGGACTGTGTGCTCGTTTGTCACCCTTAAATTATAAAAAAAATATTAAACTTTTTAATTTCAAAAATTCAAAAAGTATAAGTCAAAAGTAGTTTTGACTAACAAATTATAAACAATAACAATTATAATTATTTCACTAAATCTAGTGAAATAATTATAATTTAATTTAATAGACTAATCAGTCTAGTAAGATAGTTTTATATAACCGCTTTCATATAACTATATTACGGTATATAGCTATATCCCTAGGGATATAACTATATCATAGCCTTAACTATCTTACTGCGACATATCTAATAATATAGTAGATCAGAGGCTAGCAATCACCTTTTTTTAAAGAAAGAAAAAGGGAGACAATGTTATTATTTATCATACCATAAATAATTATGTTAATCTTCTCTTTTAATGATTTTTCACTGTAAAATTTTATTGGTATTTTTATTTTATTTTGTTAAATTTCCACTGCATACGTTATTATGACATCACCAAAAGGTAAATGGATACTGTAGCCCATAGATACATACATCTGTGATCCATAAAACACAATATGTAAAACAACCCTTACCGGCAATGGTGAGCAGAATCAAATGTGTAATATATCTGGTACTACTACTATTGGTTATACTAGTTGCCAAGCGAGCGTGGGGATTAAAGTAAAACCTCCCAATAATGGCAGAGGTCCAACTGTGGATTTTTACGGACTGATAATGATGACGATGAAAACCAACAGAAACAAACACAGAAGTACTGTACTTTATACAGTGCGAACGAATGGGAGTTTAGAGTTCTATCCTTATTTATTTTTATCCTCATTAAACTTCTACCTTCTGTTTCATTAACATCATTATCATTGCAGTCTATCACAAGTCCACTCCTGAACATAGCTTTCTTACTTTCTCAACTAAGGACTAATCTCGCGAATCCATAATCAAAGAAAAAAAATTAAATATAAGCCTAAACGAACCCTAATATATTGTGTCGATTGCTTCTATTCTGTTGTGTTCTATACTCTTCCTTATTGCAAGGAAATTCTAATTATTTTTTTTAGAGTTAAATATTATTATTTTTTTAATTTTTACAGACATCTCCGTCCAAAACCCGTCGCGCCAAGTCTCGCACTACCAAACTGGAAGGACCCAACATCGTTTTCGAGTCACGAATTGCAGAACTAGAAGCGCAACTAACGCAGGCTAAGATAAACCTTAAGAAGGTCCAGGTATTAGAAGGCGTCCTTCATCAACTATAATATCAAAATGCTTACTTTTTCCACTAAACCATTTCCAGTCATAGTTAAAAATCATGTCAATAATGTTTATCATAATTTTTGATAAATGTGGCACAGGCTATAAGGACTTTAGCCTACCATACATACCTCACCTAGTCTAGCAACGTATGGTGATTATCGATAATCGAAGACCGTTTTTGGTGACAAGTCATCCTCCTCCTCTTAGTCTTCAGAGGTGACAACGTATTATGATATTTAATCAAGGATGTAGATGTAGGTGTCTATGGGTCACAACATACTTACCATCAGCTGGACTGGGTACTCGTTTGTCACCTTGCCTTTAATAAACTATCGACGAACCTTATTCATTCACGAAACTCTATAAAGATAAATATTTTAGGACGAGAACAACGAAAACAAACGCAAGCTTGCTTCCGGTCTCGTAGATTCCACTTGCCTTGATGGATTTAAGAGGCAGATTGATAATTTACAAAGGTGAGTGATCATTTAAAGAAATCTGATATTGCTGACTGTATGACTAATGTCCACTTCGTTTTGTGATCTGAGTAATAATGATGTCCTTTAAACCGAATTCCGGTCATGGCGGCCAGTCCCTACGGAGACCATATACAGATTATAGTTATAGTGCACGAGTGTGTGCACAAGCAGAAGTACACTCTCTATTCCTTCAGTGTCATAGTACAATTGGACGGTAATCTGACACGATCAAAAAGAGATCAGGAGCACGAATAACACTTTATGTGTTTTCCAAGGCACGGGGGTGAAACACAGGCAACTTTCTGCAACTTTCTGACTCCGGGCTGCTCCAGGGAATCTCTTGGAAGAAAAACCCAACAACTGATTATAGTCCGACTCGGGATTCGAACCCGGGAACACATGATCAGCAAACACCCTTACACAATAGACCAACGAAGTACATTCGGTAGGAAGAATAATATATATACATCATATATCGTTCACATCAATATATATACATCATATACAGTTCATAATAATAGGTCGAGGAATAAGTTTCTTCGTATTTTGTTTGTATTACTCGTAAATAGAAGAAAAATCTCTTTGGTTGTACGGTTTGTATCCGGCTGGTTTTAATATCAATACATATAGGACATTAAGAAAAATAAAAATAAAAAGTAAAAAACACTTTCCCGCCATTTTTAAATTGTATTTCTGTCCGCTAAAATGAGTGAATCTAATGAAAAAATTCGATACATTCTGACGCTTTATTACAAAAAAGGGAAAAATGCGACTCAAGCAGCGAAAAAAATTGTATAATTATATTATTAATTGTATAATTTATAACATCAAGAGAGGAATGTCAAAACTACTTGTCGCATTTTTTTGATCAAAAATCCCAAGATTTCTACAGCAACGGGATTATGTTATTAACTACAAAATGGCAACAAGTTATCGAATAAAATGGCACATATATATTATAATTAAATTTAATAATTGTATATAAAATACGAAGAAACTTTATCCCCGACCTTTTAGGATATATAATAAAGTACTTAATTCACGTTCCTTGCCAAGCGTAACAACTTATAATATATTGTTTGTTTTCTTATGAATTTATAAAAAAAATATTGTATATATATATATATATATATATATACGTGTGTGAATCATAGAATCAAAACAAAATTTAATGTACGTCCTAGTCAATGCCCAAATTCGCTGTTAAACATAAGCTTTTACTCGTACATTCAAAGAAATTTTGAAATTTTATTGGTTCTTACACTTTAGAAAACTTGTATCCTGTCCAATTTATAAATTGTATAAATCGTTTTATATGTAGTAGAGGCCTAATGTAGCTATGAGTACATCAGGGCCACACTAACAAAATAGCGACTTAAAATAGCAGCATAATGCTTGATATGTTTCGTGTGATGAGTGACGAGAAATAGAGATCCTTTTTATTGGTAACGAGGCATTAAATTTTAACCCATAGCGGTGACATCGCATCGGCATGTTGATTCTTAAATTGAACAAGTGTTATATTAAAAATTTTGTATAACTTTACGCTTTACGGCTCTGGGTTCTAGCCCTTCTGAGCCTGAAGTTACAGATAAAATGAGAACATCATCAATGTAGTCGAAGTCAATTAAATACGTCAAAGTTGGTAAAAATTACCTTGCGTACATCCACTTGATACAATAAAATAAATTGATATGTCTTCAAACTAAGTGAAACAACAACTTTAATATAATAGATAACTTTAATATAATGGATTTCCGCAAAGTAACGCCTGATTCTATTAATAACTCGAAAACTACTGGTCAGATCTTGATTAAATCTTGATAAAAAAAGAATCATCAAAATCGGTTCACTTAAAAAAAGTTCTGAGGTAACACACACAGTAAAACAGTCGAATTGAGAACCTCCTCTTTTTTTAAAGTCGGTAGAAAAGAAAAATAATGCTATTAACAATTATATTCCTCTTAACACTCCAGCAGGGTTAGCGTGGGCAGGAGACAATTTTATCCCCGGGGAAAGGAGAAAATGTTTATCCCATCGCTTAGTTTTATCCACCCTTAGAGTATGGGCACACCGGTGGATATAATATCCACAGTAGATAAATTGGGAAATAGACTTAGACTTAGATAGATTTTTTTGGATGAATATAAACTTCAACCCACGTCCAATGAACTAGGATAAAATTGTCCCTTTCAAATGTCAAAAAAGCATAATTTTTTATCTTTCATTTGGCTTCATGCTACGGACGGGGGTTATATGTCTACTCGTTATGTCAAACGGGGATATACTTCTCCCCGTTTGACATAACAAGATAATTTTATCTCTTGTCAGTGGATATAATCGGGGGATAAAATTTTTGTCCCCCGTCCATGCTTGACGGACAGTTAGGCTTAAAATGCTTGAGTTACGTGAGTGGTTCAATTAAGGTTAAGTTGGTGCGTATGAGCCGCAGAATCCTACTTAGCTGTGTGTTTGTTTATTTGTTTGTCACACTTGCTTGTATTTTTTTATAGGATAGGGTGACAAATGAGCACACAGTCAATAAATACTCAAAATGCAGATGCGTTGTCACCCGTGAGGACTAAGATGGAATACCTCTTTTCCAGTAAAAAGGGTCTCCGGTTCTCTACACTCACCATACGAAACACAGCACCGTTAAGCTGCTATTTTACGCTGGTATTCCGTGAGAGCGTGGTGTTTCCCCGGTCGAGCCGACCCATTTGTGCTACAACCATAATATAGCTGCAGCATGACTCTACTACGTAAAAATATAAGGACTAATTGAAATAAGTCCATAAATCATTGCCAAGGATTGTGTCACTATTCTATTTACATCATCCTTCAGAGCTTATTATATATTCCATATTATTTTAGAGATAAATCGTCATTAGAAGCACAAATCGCAAAACTGAAGTTGAATTTAGAACAAAAGGAGAGTGATTTTGATGACCGTTACAAACGAAGCTCTGACGTCGTGGAACATCAGCTGAGAGAGGAGAGAAACAACTTGGAGGCGGAAGTGCGACGGCTTAAGGTCAGTGACTATCTTCTATTCTTCATTCTTTTCTTTTTTTTCCATTTCTTTAGTCTTCATTCTCATTAGCCCGTAAACAGGCCATTTTTGGACATGACGACGGAAGTAAAGTATGTTACAGCTTTTATACGTTCCATTACTGGACACAAACTTTCACTCTTTTGATGAGTGGTTTATGTATATCGTTATATGTTTCGCTTTGTGCAGGAGTCCAGCTGTCCCTAATGTCCCGCTGTAACAAAAAATGTCACGCATTGCGAACAAATATACTGTTACGAGCTTGGGATTCGAGACAATTAAAAACTGCCGATTGAATTACCAAAATTGACACTTTAATTACGGATACTAATTACAATCTAAAAACACACTAATAATAAAACACAGTTCGCCGTTATTTCGCTTCGAAGTATTCTCTTGTATCGCCAATTCAATACTGCCCCGGTCGTGGTCTATACCGGCCTTATATAGGGCCTCAGATAGTTTCCAGAACCTTCTACTGTAGCGACATCTAGAATGTTCGAGTACATATCGGTCCCGAAATTTCTGGAAGGATCTCGACTCTCCTAGTTCTGCTACTCGACACTAGAGGGCGCTAGTGTAACTAGTGTTGCCATGTACAAGACATTAATAGTGGCGCGCAACACTTTCATTTACTCGACACTAGGGGGCGCTAGTGTAACTAGTGTTGCCATGTACAAGACATTAATAGTGGCGCGCAACAATACTTTATTTTAAATAATTAATATTTAAATATACCTTTTTTTTATACACTTATTTGTTAATTGTTAACTATAAATTATAGCCAATTTCTATTAAGTAGTATTTTGTTAATTATTAAGTATGCACGCTGCTACCTACTTGCTTTACATGTAAAACTATTTCTCACTCCCAAAGGGTTTGCTGGAACTGGAAAAGAACTCTTATTCGGGTTAAGATCGCCTTTGTACATCTTATTAAATTATTTAAAATTGTTATAAACTTACAGTGTGTACGATAAAGAATAAAAAATAAACAACAAAAGCGGAGCAGCTTGCAACCCTGTCGCTGCTATCATTGTGAGTTCACTACCCACATACCAGTTTTCATCATCAAATAATGGTGACAACACTGGGCATAGGCTGAACATAGGCCTCCCCCATAGATGATGCAACTGCAGTTTTCACAAGCGGTATAATTTGAGTTATGATCAGGAAGACGCTGTTGCCCATCTTCTATTTCAGTTTCTCGCCTCTTACTCGTACACCACTGATATGGGGTAACGAATATTCTTCTACGTCACCACAAGGGTTAAATGTTAAAGTAACGATATTTATATTAAAAGTGACGATTAGGGGAAAAAATGTTAGCAGCCATTCTTAGCGCCACGTCATCCCGCTTAGCGAAAAATTTTATTTTTAATTTTATTTATAAAGCTTTTAATTGCCAGGATGATCTAGCTAAGGAGAGAAACAAAATACGCGAACTAGCTGGCGAAGGTACACGTCGAGCGATACAAGAACGCAGCGCGGCGGAGCAACGGTACAACGCGCATTTCGACGAATTACAACACGATCTAGCAGCGCAATATGACAATGTCGCTAAATTACAGGTAAATTAATTCTAACTGCTGTCAACATAGAGTAATCCAGCCTACTCTTAACTATACTCTCTTTTCCTTTTTGCCTTCTTTGATCGAGTTTTTTATTATACATTCACAAGGAGTTCTTTTGGGATAAATAATTCTCCTTCGCCGCTATAATACGACCAAATTTAATAGAAGTGCAAAATAATAGTTAAAAATTGAATACGTTGTTCAATTTAAAACAATTTTTTTTAATTAAACTAATATAGAATATAATGCAGATGGATCTAGATCGGCAGCGCCGTGAAGAGAGCGATTTGAAACGAGAGCTTTCGATGAAGAACGCTTACATAGAAGAGCTAAAGATGGAACTGAAAAATAAAACAGGTAACTGTGGAAGAAATACATTTTCCTGTAAAATTCTTTTTAGTTGTTAAAGTTTAATTTAAAGCCTTTATACGTCCCTTTGTTGGGTACTGGCTACTTCTCATTTCTGCTATGGTTACGCAGCTATAAGTGTGCCAGGCTACTCCAGTGCATGTTTAGAGACTTTCACACACGCATCTTCGAAAAATTTCTATTCCGCAGACATGCTGGTTATCCCACGATGTTTTCTTCACCGTCGAGCCCGTGGTGAATTTTTTTTTAATTTAATTTGTGCCGGCGGCTATGTTACTCAGGTTGCTCACGTAATATGAAACCGTGAGTTGTACGGCTCTTCAAAATTATCTAATTAACCGCGTAGTCAGAGTATCTGAGTATCGCGGCTGTATGACGGATCTGGTACCCGGCGCGTTGTAGCCACCGAAGAAATAATTGTTATTTGTTTTATTGATTTATATTGTTTAATAAGGAATAATAATACATTCAATGAAATTGAATAAATATGCCGGTACGATACGAGCGCCACCTATTGTAATTTAATTGTACTATACCTATAACCTTCGCACAAGTGCAAGCAATAAGTGGACAAAGTTTTACCGCAATCTGATGAACGGAATGGCAGTGCATAAAATACGAACAAATTTTTATATATATATATATATATATATATATATATATACAGTGGATTTCGGGTATAACGACGATGAAGGGACCACTCTATTTTCGTCGTTATATCCGGAAGTCGTTACAGGCAAAGGTAACAAATTTAACACATTACAGTTGCTACTCCGAATATCACTTTACTACTGAACCATAAATTTAACTCCGAAACGTACACCCTTCCCTAACTACTCAGCTGATATCTATAAACAAAAGGTAAAGGTCTCCACACTTGCTGACCATCTGTATGGATGTAAACAAAAGAAATGAAATGTTTGTGAAAGAAAGAAATCTTTGTGTCTTTGGCAGCCGACACCGGTCGCAATATCTGCATGGGATTTCTAGGAATCTGCTACAAATAATTCATTAAAAACAGTCGCTACACCCGAACTCGGCGTTACATCCAAAGTCGCTATAGCCACATGAATTTTGTACTAAAATATGCTTAAAATCAAGGGACTTAGATTTAATAAATGAAATCCACTATATATACATATATATATAATATGATATAAAGGCATCTGCCATAAAATGCATTTATCTTTCAAATCGAAATAACTTTATTTTTTGTGTAGAAATATTTATGTACAATGCGGACTAATTCTGAACAATATTTAGAAGAGCACATTAATTTTGTATTATATATTTTTAAATTGTAGTGACAAAAGTTTAGGTTTCATTCAGCCTAAACAGTGTGCGAATCACAACCAAATAGTATTTTAGTCCGTAGTTGTTGCCATGTATCGCATGTTTACGACACTACATCAAAAACTTCCTTCCACTTACACACTTACGACCTTAACACAGCTTAATCTGTATTTTTCAGCTTCACTTCAAGCGGACTTAGCACAAGCGCACGCTGAGAAGGCTTCACTTGAAGAGGAACTAGCCAACGCTCGTCTGGCTATGGAACGCCAGCAGAGGCAAGCTAAACACGAGACCAACCGACTCAATTCTGAGGTTAATACATTAGAATTATCACTTGCTTCTTACTATTAATAGATGTTAAGACGTGGTAATTTAGTGGATTAGCGGTGGCCATAACTTTTTATAGTTCTACTTAAGGTGAAAGCTCCAGGGTGGCCCGCGAAATTCAATTTTTCTTGCGTTTTTTGGAATTTGCAGGTCAGGCTCAGGTTGTATATTTTATAAAATATGATTCGCGACCGTAACGAGTATGTGTTTATAGAATTATTATAATTAAAATCACCAATACAACCCTCTAAGTTCATATAATCCCTTTGAATGAGTTTTTCTGGAAATAGCCATACAATGGGATTATACAAACATATATGGTTGTATTGATGATTATAATGATTAATGTAAATACATAATCATTACGGTCGCGAATCATATTTTGTTAAATATACAACCTGAAACTGACCTACAAATTGCAAAAAACGTAAGAAAATTTTAATTTCGCGGGTTACCCTGGCGCTTTCACCTTCACCAAAACAATTAGGCGCATGACAGTTACGCGGTTTCGGCGCCCGGACCCCGCCTCTGTCCACGCTCTTTCACTAGTGACGTGTAGTCGTGACTCATGACGCATTTGTATACTCGTTCTCGGCAGTGATAATACATCTTTAATGCTGTTTGCAACTTTCGCTATTAGTTACTTGTTATACATATGTAAAAAAATGTATCACATAAGATAATTGGAAAATTAATTATGTTAAACGATTACAGCGGCGTTACGGGAAAAGCAAGGTTTTCAAAATAAATGTGCACAACTACAATCATGACTCCGACTTGCTCTCATCGTCGAAACGTCGGAGTTTGAAGAGTTAGATGGCTTAGCAATGAGTTGCTGCGCTTGTGGCCGCGGGTTCGAATCCCGCACGGAACAAGTATTTGTATGGCCTGCAAATTATTGTTTCGGGTCTGGATGTTTGTCCTTGTGCAATTTGTGTTTGTAAACTGCCTCCACGATACAGGAGAAAATCCTAGTGTGGGGGTAACGTTATTTAAAGAAGAAAAAAAAGTTAGATCCCTCTAACTATTATGAATAAAAATTCTTTAAAATATAAATACATTACATATACTTGTTGAAATTTTCAATATACACTTCAATTACTCTAAGCAGATAAAAATTGACACTTAAACACCGAATAAGGGAAGTACCTAGCGCCTAAGTTGCAAGACGTACATTGTGACTTCGCGACTTTGGCTTGCACTGCATTGTCAGTGAACTTACTAATTGGAAAAGTAAGTTACGTGACCTTTACCTCAGTTGGATAGGATAAGCTGTGGAGGTAAGCATCCGTCTTAAAACATACTAGGTAGGACTTCTTTTGTAGGAGTCCGTTTGCGTAGGTAGTGTTCTGTAGTTCGGATTACCACAAATATTTGTAATTATGGAATGATCGGTATGTGTGTATATCCAGCGTTTGAGATAACAGGTGGAAAATAACGACGTTGAACTAATTATTGATTTATTGATGTATTAATGCTATGAGACTGAATGTAGGATACTTAAGTCATGTTTTTACTGTCTTTATTATTCCCTATTAGTTACTTTAATTCGTTAATAATACTGTAATTTTTAGCTATGGAAGAGCGAAGTCACCTGTTGCAGGCATTATTTTGCTTACTTGGTGACCTCGATCACTGATCATATAATTTAACTTTAATATTAATAATACTATAAATGATTTGTTATTATTATTATAAATAAAAACTCATTGTCAAACAGATTCAATCACTTCGCCAGCGTCTCGACCGTGCCGACGCGGATTTGGTTCACTCGCGTCGTGAGAATCTACGTCTGTCTGAACAAATTTCTACATTGGAAAAGGAGGTAAAAGAAAAATAAAACACTTGAGTTAAAAATTTAAATATTTTATTAATATAAGTTCTTGGTCAAAAATTATAGAAACTTTAAAAACTTGCCTTCATAAATAAGCAAATTAAAAACAGATCTTACAACTGAAATTTAAGAAATTGGAAATAATTAAAATTTTAAAAATATTAATATTAAGGACTACTACACTACCCCATATCATTCCTTAGATGACGTATGACAACAACTACTTCCTGATAATAATTCAAAATAGTAAAAAGCTGTGGTTGTCCACTAAGCAATCTGTTGGGGAGGCCTATGTCCGCAGAGGACATTTGAGAAAAGTTATATTGACACTATATTATAATAATTTAATTACGTATTTCTCTTCTTCTAGTTGAACATGAAAAGTTTGACACCCATATCTCCGGAGAAGAATAAGAAAGAGAAAGAACTATCATCAATGTTCGAGACAATGGAGAATAAGCATGGTAAGTCATTAATTAGATTAGTTGGTGTCGGGCACGAAGAGTAATTTGAAATATAATCGAAATTAAAATAGAAAGTATTTACGTTTTTTTTTAGATCAGTTAATAATTTAGTTACATTTGAATGCCCGTCCTTCCATTCATAAATGGGTAAGCTATTGATGTTTTGAGAAATTCGATAATTGACCATTAAGTTTTAATATTGCTTCAAAACATTTATATTTTACCCTTTCATTGGTTGCGCTTTGCGCTTGCATGTCTATAAGAGTTTTGAAAGGGCTTTTGGATAATTATTTCTTCAAGTCAATAGTTTATTCATCAGATTGTTTACATAATACACTAAACATACACCTATGTACTGTATCTTTCCTTCATACGGTATATTTGTGAAAGAGTACCTACATTAGGATAGTTAATAATATCAATTAACTATTTAAATTAAAATCAAACTTAAAGTTTGCCAAGTTTATAGATGATAAATTTGGTTCCACAGCTAAAACCGTGGCTGAGTTGGAGTCCATGATACAATCACAAAACAGTCTGATGGAGAAACTCACCGGCGAGTGTCGTTTGCTTACCGACAAGCTCGACGACGCAAACCGTAGGCACAAGTACGAAACATTTTTCAAATTTACGCATGAGCTAGCAATTGAACATGGTCAATTTAATCTGGCACCTTTTAAATTCTTAGCATCTAGTTCTAATCAATTTAAAACTTATGAATCTTTAGTAAAATGGCTGATAATTGTCATCATTACCCATTTAAAATGAGCAAATATCCTAACGTCGTGTTGTGTTTTTATTGGCGGCAGGCAGAGCGCAGAGTCGCAGCCGTGTAGACGAACCAATCAGAACACAACGCGACCGTTCAAGATCCCGCGATCAGCCAGGGAACCGCCATTCCAACAAGCACCGGTCCGGAAAAGAGTCCGATTCGTCGACTAATTACCAACCGATTGTTGTTGGCCCTTTGACGACAAATCAGGATCTCAAAAATTTTCACGGAGAGAAAGTATACAATCTACCGCTAATGATTCAACAGCCCTTTTTACGTGAGAAAAAGGAGCCAATAAAGGTTGATATTAGTGTTAAGCTTATACCTAAACCTAAAAAAAAAGATAGGAAGAGGCGTGAGTCACAATTAGACGAAGCAGCAAATACACCAACTAAACCAGTTAAAAGTAACATTAGTATGGTAGTTACAAGTAATGACATTCATGTTCTAAATGAAACAGTAGAAATGGCTAGAGAGAATGATTTATCACCGAATGTGTCTGATAACGAAGAATCACGACGAACAACGAACAAAATTAAAGAAGATAACAGGGAAGTATTGTTAACACCGAATATCGATTTAAATGCACATGAAATCGATGAATCTTTTGATTCTAAAAGTGATTTACCAGAAGACAGTCCAAATAGTAAAGATGTAGTTAATAATGAAACACTGACAGATTCTCAAAATGAAAACAGAGATGAATAATAACCACCAACCGAGGAATAAATAAAACCCAATAGGTTACTTAGACTGTGTATCCACGTGCAAGTGGTGTATACGACTAGCTACTTTAGTTTGTTGTACTTGAACGAAACTCTACTGATAAATTATATAATCTATAGATGCTAGCATAGAGGTTGTAGTCTCATAAATTATATATGTCGTACTTTTAAAAAGCCGACTTGCGTTTCTGAAATGTATTAAAAGTTTTAGTTAGCAACAGTTCTAGCGTAAGTTAGCAAACTTAGCATTTCCTCGAAATATACCTTATTTCTCAAACACATAGTTCTCACATTTGTAATACTGGGCGTGTGGCAAATTATCCCTTTAAATTGCTATTATCAATTTTGGGAAGGCGATACTGGGAATCTAACTCCGGTGTAATGTTCTATGGAAGTAAAGGACCTAACTCCTTAACGACTACATCTTACAAAGTTATTTGTTTTGTTTAAGAATAAATACAACCTCTTTTTATTAATTAGTCGTATTAAGTGCTTTGAATGTTTTGAACGTGGTGTTGTAATTAATTTCACGGCGGTTTGTAGAGAATTTGAGCGTATAAGCAGTGTTGTGAGAACAGGGAGAATGATTTTATTAATGAAGTTAATATTTAGATTCTTAGATCATATTAAGATGTTTCTACGGAACAATAACTTGAATTACAATTTATTCAAAAAACTCAGTTTCTTCTTTGTATTATTAGTGCAATATTGATGTGATATTAGTTTTATTAATGGTTTTGCTTAATGTTGCGTTGCTTGTTTATTAGAAAACTTTAGAGAATAGTGCTACAATTACATAACAACTCCATGTTAAAAATGGGTAATGATAACAATATACATAGGATATTTAGGTCGTGTGCAATAAAAGCTTCGAGGTACAATAGAAATTTTATTTATCTAATTTCCATTTCTCCGAAACTTAGTCACGCATCATACTATGCGATTCAAATAAAAATAGGAATGAACTGGTGCCATATTGTAACGTCATAGCTGTCAATTCAAACCAATTAGGTAGGGTGAGCAAAATAAACATTAAAGTTGGTAAAAAATTACTTCGCGTACATCCGCTCGATAAAACAAAATGATGTGTCTTACCTACTTTGAAGAGCACCTCCCGCCCTCCATCAATTGCGTGCACTATCACCGTCACCACTAATCCCAGCACCACTACACTAGGAAAGATACACCACTAACGACAATACGACACGTGTTTCGTCTCAACACGAGGCATCTTCAGGTAATCTAGACTCTGCGGTGGCCGACCGCCAAGTGAGCGGCGAGCCAAAACAACTCCTACTTATACAGACCGAGTTAATTTTATCGAGCGGATGTACGCGAAGTAATTTTAACTTTAATATAATGGACTTCCGCAAAGTAAAGCCTGATTCTATTAATTATCTTAAAATAGATATTTTTAAATAATATTTACGAGTATTTACAAAAGAACCATGAACGAAAAAATATTAATATAAATCTAGGTTTACCTAGATTCATATTAAAAATTCTAAATTATTTCATTTATGAAATAGGTAATTGCTATTGTCTTATTATTGTGTCTGAGAACCGGAGAGTGAAAGTGTTAACCCTCGGCGTGCCTGGTGGAAAAAAGTTACATGGCGTGCCTGGTGGGTCTGTGAGACCCAAATTTTAAATATTTTTTTTCTCCTACAAATTGATATCAATGTAGTATATTTTTTGATTTTATAATAAAATTAAACATGTTTTTTAGGATTTCAAATAAAATACGTGTTCAAATTAATAATATTTTTAATAGAATTTTTAATTAAACTTTTACCTCGTTTTTAACGTATAATTAAACATCTTATTTTCATAAACATACAAAATCAACTAAAACAAAATAAATCACAATCAGACTTTGGGGATCATAAGGCACATAAGGTTATCTTATATTCTAAGCTAAAATAATTAGTCTTCATCATTTTCAGGAACATTGCCTTTGAAGCAATTTCCGCACTGGAATATTGCATGATCTAGGCACACGTGGCTTTTGCACGTCTCACAGATGTATTGAGTTTTACGGTCTTTCTTTGATGTACAAACGTAACATCTACGCCTTACACCTGGAGCTGTTTTTTTCACCGGTGGACCTTCGTCGAGACCAATACGGTCAGCAATTCGTTTGCGGAGATCTGTGGAAAGGCGAGTATTTTTCTGTCTTGTTTTTAGATGAGATTCTATCAATGCGATACCCAGATCTTTGATAAAATTTCGGCGATTGTTTTTGATATCAGGGAAGTTCAGCATTTGAATAATTTTTGCATTTATACCTGCAGAGTTCAGCAACCAGAAAAACAGAGTGAGCGGCCATCTTCTGGAGTTTCTTGATACATCATAAGATCTAATAAGCTTGTCAACGTTGTCAACACCACTTTTCGTTTTGTTATAGAATGTAATAACTGCTGGTTTTTGCTTCTCGCCTGATTGCAGGTCGATTTCCACATCATGATGGAGAGATGACAGCAGGAACACTTTTCTTCTAGGTTTTGGGACGTATGATACTAAAGTCATATCTTTTTGAAATCCGAAATGTGATCAATACATTGTTGAATTTGTTTTGAATTTTTCAGGTATGCAAGTTTTATTTGATTTCATTGTACCGACAGCGGTTAGCTTATGATGATTTAGCAAGTGTTCATATGTTGGATAGCTCGTAAACCAGTTGTGTATCGTGATATTTCTCACTGACTGAGAAACTGGCGCGACGAGGCGATCGACTACATCGTGAGGCTTATTGCTGACCTTATAAGGTCCCTCTGGTTGCTCGCCTAAATAAATCTCCAAATTCAGAGAGTAGAATGTTTTGGCATCTACGAGCGCAAATATCTTTATTCCATATTTACCTGGTTTATTTGGCAAATATTGGCGAAATTTGCAGCGACCACGGAAGGCTACAAGCTCTTCATCTAGAGTCAAATTTTCAAAGGGCGTGTAGTGTTGTTGGCATCTGCTAACGAATTCTTCGAACAGTTTCCTGAACGGGGCTAGTCTGTCCTGTGACAGTCTTTCTTGACGTGTATCAACATCATCAAATCGCAAATGATTGACAATAAAAATGAATCTTCTCAAGCTCATTGTCATAGCAAAAATAGGAATACCAGTTCCATCATTACACCACAAGTCTTGTAAATTCTGCCTTGCAGATTTATATAATCCCGCAAGGTAAATTAGACCAATGACAGCCTTCAGCTCATCCATACCAACTTCTGCATAAGCGTAGTCATTTGAAGTGTTCAGACCAAGTCTCGTTCTTCGAATTCTCACATTTGTATGAATTAGTATATCCAGCAACATAGACTCGCCCACAAAAAGATTGAAACACTCTAAAGGAGTTTTTGCATCTCTCGCTAATATTTTGACACCCGGTGTTCCAGATACTATATTTTCACTACGTGTTCGAACGTTTGATCTAGCTGGAAGTTTGTACCACAAAGTTCCGTCTTTACCTTTGTAAGTTCTTCCTGAGGGCCGCGAAGTTAACTCTGACAGTGGCACGTCTATTTCAGAATCTGAAGAGTTCTCATCATCAACTATTTTGAAGAGGCCTTCCTCCGAATCGATCGAGTCGGTTTCATAAGTTTCTTCTGTAACCTCATCAGACTCTTCGTCGCTGGAGTCGAATTCAATATCATCTTCGGGATCTTCGTCCACCTCTTCGAGTAGCAAACTAACGATTTCCCTGTCCTGTAAGGACCTCTCCATTTTGAACTGTAAAGAATATGATACTATAAAGTTGAATTCCAAACAAAATAAAGAATTTTATGAATAAAATACATCAAATTCGTAAAAAGACAAATTAAAACAATAATAATCTCGAGTATTATATATAAAATATGTTACTATTTAAAATATTATGTTTATTTTTAACAAATTAACGACACAAAACCACTAATAGCAACAAATGAATTCTTACATGAAAACGTCACGCCGTATGCCTGGTGGGGTCTGCGAGACCCGAGCGCACTTTAGACACGTCCTTTCACTACTGGAGCACGCCCCGGACTGAGGTAGCGGGCGGAGGGCGTCAATTAGTTCACTACGGTCAGCTACTGAGAGCAGTTGCGAGCGAATTTTAAATTAAAATGAATTATAACGGTTTAACGGCTGCGGTGGGTCTCACAGACCCAACCAGGCATGTCGAGGGTTAAATTAATTTATAAAAGTAATTATGAGTTCAATAGATTTGGTAATACTAAGACTCAGTTAAATAAAGCGGGTAAGAAAAACGTAATTAATAGGCAAGTTAATTTTCTGTGCAAGCCGTACTTTATAAGTGATAGTTGACAGATCGCGGTCATTCGAGGTCATTGACATTCCTATTCTAATTTGAAACGCATAGTAATTTATTTAATGGAGAATATCACTTTAAAGTTTAATTTCCTTTCAGAGGGGAAAAAACACAATTGCTTTGCAGGAATGCTGAACTTATGAGAAAACTTAGATATCTGTGGTCTTCTCATAAGAAATATTGCACAACACTTGCTCCTATTCGAAGTTACACACCACTAAGCGGCTATCCTAACAGCAGATCATCTTACGATTTTGATCGCACATATTTCGATACATCAACGCCTTACACTTATAGAAATAGATTTAGAAGAAGCGATGATTCTAGCGATCATAGCGCAGCTAGAGATGAAATTGGTAATTTAACGAGGAATCTAAGCTACCTTTCTATTGACAAATTTGTCGATTCTGATGACGATCCTGCTAAGGTAATTTATAGGGTGAAACTGTGCAGATTGGTAGATTAGTGTTTATGCTTTTTCGTATATTTGATCTAAAATTGAGTCAATTAGCGTACACTTATACAACCAGATTGTTATAAATCCATGTAATCCCAATAAGTACTTAGACTTTTCAATAGATTGCATGACGAGCTTTAATTTTCTAATGATATTTTATAGTACAAATAAAATACAGATTTATGTATCATAATATGCAGTGTATGAACGGTGACGAACAACACTTTGTTGTTAATAATACAACAATTTGTCGTTATGGACCTAAATGCAAAAATTAACCTTGATTTCCATAAAATACAGATTGAGTTTTTTTTTAAAGACAGATTGATATTTTACAAGTGCAGCACTTTCAGTTAGTGATTGATAACTAAAAGTCAAGCGCAACAAATCCGTAGATATTAGTTTTATCTAAAGATTGCAATTAATGCAATGCAGTCCTACAATTCCTTACCTACGTATTTCATTAAAAAAAAAAACATCCATATAGACTCATTCTAAAAGGGTGTCCTGGAATAATGAAATTCGTGACCGTTCATAACTTCTATTGAAACAATATTAAAATATCTTGTATATAATAAATTTGGAGTAATCTTAACAAAGCCGTTTTAAATATTTTGTATCTATAAGAACTGTGAATAGCATGTGTTTGTTACGTGTTGTTGCACGTGTGTGCGAGTGTTGTCACGTGTGTGCCGGTGTGCTACAGGGAAGAACTGGCCACTCTGCATCGTCAAGTAGAGCAGCTGGGACGTTCGCTACAATCAAACATCACGCCTGCACCTAACAATTATCAAGGTATGATCTAAAAATAATTGAGATTAGGTCTTATAGAAATGTACAGCATACCTTAATTTAAGTGCTAGAAACTAAATATAATATTTTGCAGTAACTTCAGTAGGTAGGGAAAGATAATATCAAACTTTTTTTCACTATCACTTCATTAATTATTGTGGAACATCATCATTGGACGGATGGATACTGATGATAATCATTATCAAAAACAATTACTTCATTATATTTACTGTTTCATAAACAAAGCACAGCAAACACATCCTTGGTTACTAGTATTTATTAACCGCTATCCGGTGGAAAAAGGAGAGGAAAGAAAAAAATTGCGCACTTTTAAAAAATATATCTTATAGGACACCGAAAAGCTGGCTTCTCTTTATGTTTGCTTTGAGAATGGGTTTAAACAAATCGTGTCATTTAGCAAGTCTCTCAAATATCTAAGCTTAGAGGTGCTACATGCTGGTGGTGCTGCAGGTACTGATCCTCTTTACACGTCAATGTGAAACATCAAAAACATTAATAAAACAATAATTGAACATTAAAATCCTTGTTCTATCGGTGGTGAAAGATGCGATTATCGATTAAAGGAATAAATCGGACTGAAGACTGCAAGCAGCAGTCCCACGTGTTAACTGTTACACACGTGTTATGCTGGCATACCCACATCGCACTGTATATTACTATCAACTGTGTCTACATTTACACTCTCATTAATGAGGCAACAACTTTATAACAAAACTGAAATGAAATAATAATGATGAATATATAGTTAGGTAGTGAATATATAGATTTTACTTCATTTATATATTTCATTGTGTAACATAAGCATAACACACGAATGTAAATTGTTCTTTTTAAAAAGTTCCGTTGGGTTTCTTGCTGGTTTTTCTCAGGACGGGGGTATTTTATGAACTAGTGATAAATTTAAAAAAAAAAAGACTTTCAATAAGTATTATTTATATTGAATAAAAAAAGTATTTTTATTTCTATTTCTTTGCAAATATCTACATAACAATTCCAATCTGAAATAAAAAGAGAGTAAAATTGAAATTCATTTATATAATATTCCGTGGAATGTCATTTACTTCCTACGATGCTGTAATATTTTCTTAATAATAATAATGAAATTTAATTTCAATCAAATACTTCTTACAGCACATCCCACGCACACAACCGGAACCGACAGAACTTTACCACATCCCACGACCAGCTCCAGATCAAACGATCCCGGAGACGACTCCTCCGGACACGGCAAGGTCAAACAACAGCCGATTGAGCAACCGGACAGATTTATCGATGGTAAAATTAAAACAGCAAGAATAATTGAGCACAATAATGAACATCACACAGTCGATGATAGTGAAGCACAACAAGCTAACGAGCCTACACACGAACAAAACAAATCAGACGGTCAAATTATTATAAATAAATCAGAGCAGGAAATGGATTATCAAAATAATGCAACAGTAGAGCAACCTGTAGCTGGACACGATCAACACGGAGATCAGATTTACAGTGAAGATAATTATGAAAATTACGATCAAAATTATGAACATGCTCCAGTAGAAACAGAATACAACCAAGAATACGAACAAAATCAGAATCAAAACGGAGAGAATTTTGAGCAACAAAATTATGTAGAGCCTCAATATGAAAACTACGAACAGTATCCTCAGCAGTACGCTGATCCAAATGCACAATATGATACCCAATATGAAAATTATGATGCAGATGGTAATTACCAAGAACACATAGATCAGTCCCAATATAATCCGGAATATTCATCTGAGTATCAAGAAGTCCAACCTACTGAAACTGAAGCTCTTCAGCCAGACTCTATGCATCCTAATAATATAAATACAGAAAATATTCATTCCGAACAATCTGAATTTTCAACACAGTCTGAAAGCAAAACAAATAGTCCGAAGAAAACTGAACCAAATGAAAGTTAGCAAAGTTAGTTTAGCTTAAGTTTAATTTTTCGTGCAATAATTGTTATTTGTTATTTGCTTTTTCTTTAGTTTATACTTATATTATAATTGAATGTATGATGTATCACAAGTCTCTTTAAATGTGATAGAAATAAACTAGTCAAAACATAAAACTTAAATATTATCTTTGACATCTTATTATATAATTATGTTGATCCCTTTCACCATTCTATGCAATTTAGTATTCGAATAGAACTACTATTTGAATTAATCACTATTACGTGGCCCAACGGATTAGTAAGCCGAAGTGGCATCGGTCGACCTCCCACTAGATGGCAGCCTCGTACCAGTAGGCGTAGTGTAGGGCGACCTCCCACTAGATGGAGTGAGGAAGTCCTCACCTCCTGTCCGTTCGTCCGTCCTGCATGTCTTACCACTTGGAAGTCGATGGATGCAGGTGGCTCAGAACTGTGCTTTGTGACATTCCTTGGGGGAGGCCTATGTTCAGCAGTGGACTTGTGAAGGGATGTAATGATGAGGATGATGACGTGGCCCATACGAATCATCTGCGTAAGATACTTTACTTACGAAAAACTTAGCTGAGTATATACATACTTAGCATAATCTTTGATTCTGAATATATAGTTGTATCGGGCTAAGGTTAAGCTATAAGTTTATGTTAAGGCCCAGACAATCAAAAAATTAATGAACATTTCATTCTATACATTATGCTATTGATTTTGTATAAAATTAAAAAAATAATAATATTTAAAAATCGAAAACAATCCAAATTGCATTTCATGAATAAGTTATTATTAAATGAAATAGAAAACGAGCTTATGAGAACGGATAAGAATGAGAAAAGTGCAATATCAGAAAAAAGAAGATTTTGAGAAATTCGAAATAAGTTAGAAATTTCGTTAAATGTATTAATGTTATTTAAAACTAGAAGACTGCCTAAAATTACCTTTTTTATTGTTATAAATAATTAGAATATCATAACAACAACAGTTTAAAATTGATACGGTAGTTTTGTATAATATCCAGAGTTTTACGTAAGTCGTCGATTTCGTTGACTTTAGCTACCGACATTGTCTTAGCTCGAAAGTAAAGTCTGAGCGAAGTCAGAATACGGTCTGTAGATTTCAGCCTAAGACTTCATCCATTTAATAGACGCAATATTAAATATATGTTCAACTAACTGTTCGGTTATTAGGTTTGTACGTGGTAGAGCCATGCTGCAGCTATATTAGTAGTATAGTTGTAGCACGAATGGGTCGTTTCGACTGGGGAAGGACCACGCTCTCACAGAATACCAGCGTAAAATAGCAGCTTAACGCTGCTGATTTTCGTATGGTGAGTGTAGAGAACCGGAGACCCTTTTTACTGGAAAAGAGGAATTCCATCTTAGTCGTCACGGGTGACAACGCATCTACATTTTGATCCGTAATTGGGGAAAGATGTAAATGTCCAGGGGCCACAGCAACGCAACCACTTACCATCAGGTGGACTGTGTGCTCGTTTGTCACCCTCTCCTATAAAAAAAAGGTATTTATTTAGAAATTTAAATACTGTACAGTAGCATAATAACCATTTCCCTATCATGTGTATCATATAGGAACATTTTGATTGTTTAATTATTGTGTATATTTCGTGGATAAGAAAATTGTTAATTTATAGAAGCGGCCTAGTGGGAGATATATTTTCGGGTAGTTATTATTGGGCAATTAGTTGAATTTAAACTGCAGGAGTGAGATCCATTCCATCGATTACAGCCGATAAAGTCCACTGCTGAATTCCATAGATTGTCTCATAGGGAGATTTTGAAATGGTTGCCAAGCATGGCAAGCGGGTTGGCAACTGCAGGTTTTTATTAAGTTGTTATCAGGAAGATGCTGCCACTCCTCTCCTATTTCAAGATTCCCTCTGTTGCCAATATATATCTTGTGACACCTACAGGTCAATATGGGGTAGTGGATATTCTTACACCACTACTATACGGTATTCTCAGTAAGATAATTGGTGGTTAAATTCAGAGGTGGTTAAATTGGACTCGATTTGAAGGTTTTCGTTCAGGTTTGAACCTACAATAAATTGTAAAATTTTTAAAATTTTAAAATAGACATAGGCCGCTAGAAAAGAGAAAATGAAACGTACGGCTTGGTGGGAATGGTTTAAAGGCGCAAAAGTAGTAGAACGAGAAGCAACAAAGAGAGAATTATAACTTATTTAGTGTGTGCGCGCCAATCTCTGCCATTGCTGATATAAGAACACGCTGAAGAACATTTTAATCACTGCTTGTCTTATTTCGCAATCTACAATGTCAATTTTTTTATAAAACAAGTGACAAACGAACGTACAGTCCACCTGATGATTAATGGCTACTGCATTCCATGGACATCTGTAACCTAGGTCTGAGAGAAAGAAGGCTACATATAGGTTGTCTTAGAATTAATTTAGTCTGTAATTGTACTGGCTCTCTTCCCTTCAGATTAGACTAAATAGGCACTACCTGCACTTTAACAGAAAACGGTAAGAGGGTAGTACTTACCTACCTGACGGGACTCAGGCAGAAAAGGCGTCCTACGTCCAATTGGAATGACGGCAGATAGGAAGTATTTACGACATAACGGATACAAAACCTGTTATACGAGGGCGACACTAAACGTTTTTAGAGCTGGCCACTTGTAAACGATATAATAAAAAAAAAAAGTTCAAATTTTTAAAAATGGAACTATTTGCCAATATTATTGTGTATGTATTTTATTAATTTGTCATTTGTTTACGATTTGGCGGCAAATTGAAAATTGTCTGTGACACTTCAGCATGAATTTAACGGGAGAAAATTTTCGTACAAAGATTTTTTATAACTTTCGATGTCATTTAAGTCAACAAGAAAGTTATGATAGACTTCGATTGGCCTTTTACGATGAAGCCCCATCTCGTGCCACTGTTTACAAATGGTTTAATGAGTTTAAACGTGGTCGCACTCGCTCTCAATCTCACCGATGATCTGCGTGAGGGACGGCCTTCTACGGCGACGACTGAAGATTAGATCAGTGTTGTGCGACGTATGATAGAGGCTGACAAAAGAGTGACTTATCAGCAGATTTGGACAAGCTTAGGCATCGGTATGAGTCAAGTGCACAAAATCCTCCATCAACATTTAGCGGTCAGGAAGCTTTGTGGCCGGTGGATACCTTATAATTTGACAGAGGCCTAAAAACTTCGTCGTGTTGATTGGTGTCGTGAAATGGTTCAAAAATTTAATGGAGGTAACTCAAATGCTGTGTTCGACATACAAGTTACGGGTGACGAAAGCTGGATTTATTGTTATGATCCTGAAACTAAGAGACAGACTGCTGTCTGGGTGTTTTTGCTTCCGAGGAGTAGCCAAGTAAAGTGAAGAGAGGTCGAAGCGTGGGAAAAAAGATGGTAGCCTCTTTCTTCGGAAGCACAGGTCATTATGCAACAATTGTTTTAAAGGATCAAAAAACAGTTACTGCAGAGTGGTACACTAACAATTTTTTGCCACTTTTCTTGGAAAAAGTTCGGGAGAAACAATGTTGCAGTAGGATCCTCCTTCACCACGACAACACCTCGTTGTACATAGCCAAGCAAACAATCGACTACTTGGCGACGTCAGACGTGGAATTATTGGGTCACCCGCTCTATAGCCCCGACCTCGCACCTTGCGATTTTTATTTATTTCCGAAAATAAAAGAAAAACATCGATGACGTTTTGTAGACGCCGAGGAAGCAGTGGCTACGTTTCAAAATGCCGTCAAAGAGACCCCTAAGGACGAGTGGGAAAAGTGCTTTTTTCAGTGGTTCCGTCGGATGTAGCGATGTATTGATGTAAATGGACACTATTTTGAAAGATTTAATAAAACTGATAACTTGCTAGTTCTTTCAGTTTTTGATTTTCTAAGAACTTTCAGTGTCACCCTCGTATGATGTTTGAGATACAGTCGGGCATTATAATCCTGTCCTGCGTCGATGGCTAGTCTCTGTTGAGGCTGGCCGCCGTGACCGATTATCGGTCTGGAGGACATTATTATTATTATATGTTTTTATATCGTATTAGGTACTTAAATTAAATAACTGTGAAAATTTTTGAAATATTTATGCTTAATAAACAGCTGAATCAAACCAGCGAACCGAAATTTTTCGTTCTTCGAGTTTCAATTACAAACCTTGATGTCGACGTGTGGCATCGATAATCCAATCAATTAACCAACATTATTAAACATTTTGTAATAATTATAAACGCCTCACACTCCATTCGAAACATAGCCAACGTGTTCATTCCAAAATTCGGATTCCGAAGTAAAGCAAAATGAAACAGTTGCTCTTTACTTTAATAGTAACCAGTGTTGCTGTAATGGAAATTCTAGCGGTAGGTTCTTTTTTAATTTATTGTGCACAACAGTCTTACATTTTTAATGCTAATCTTTACAACACGGTAATGGGGTTATTTTTTGTTGTACAGTCGTCATAAACATTATATACTCTAATTGTTTTATATTAGAATGCTAGTGATCCGCCCCGATTTCACATGGGTGATTTTTTGGATCTCGACAACAGCGCCACCTATCATGTTCAAATGTGAACGCCGTCCACTACCATATCGAGACGGCGAAGTCGGGCTTGCTCTTTCTGATCGAGACGCAGGTGTCCTCTCCGGCTGACACTTCTTATCTCTCCTACCCGGGGTACAAATTGGAACACTCTTTTGAGTCTCGGGCTGGAGTTTGCGTATACGTCAGAGAGGACATCTGTTCTCGACGCCTCGGCAGTCTTGAAGGTTCGGACCTGTCCATCCTTTGGCTACGCGTAGACAGCGACGACCATCCGCGCGTCTACGGGTGCCTCTAAAGGTCCTATAGCGGTAATGCCGAAACAGACTGACTCATCGACCCTGTAAAATGATTATAGATTCCTTGCTACAACAGGTCCCATCCGCAGAGATGGTGATCCTTGGCGATTTTAACGCCCACCACGCCGAATGTCTCGGTTCA